GATATAGATAGATAGATATAAGTAAATTTGTATGTATACGTATGAATATGAAATATATAAAAGGATAAACGTGTTTTTCATTTAGATTTTATTTTCTTTCCTCATACATTTTTCTTTGTCCATTGCAGGAGAATGCGACGACTGGCAAACACAACGCCAGTGTGGTAGTTCTATTGAGTGTGAATTGCTGGTATTTTAGAGAAAAAAGTATGTATTTCTTTGTGTAAGAATTTAATTATAGACAGGAATTAAAGTCCTCATGAAGTGTATGGAGTTGGACCATAGTGATATCAGCTCAACCGAGAGGGATTTGCAGAAAGGGGTCACGCTGGAGATGTCCGCTTGCATGCTAGCGTGCACAGAAACATAAGCTGGAGATGTGATGAAATTCTGATTTTTTTCCAACTATGTATTTTATGAGAAAAGACAAGCTTTTCTTCATTTGATTATTCTCAGGTAATAATTATGATACTGAGTATATGGAAAAGAATAGAGATATGTATACAATATGTAGAGTGAAAGAGAGAAAACTTTTTTTTTTTTCCCATCAAATTTGAAATTTGAGCAATTTTTAAAAATTTTAGGCAATAAACTCAAAATGTAAATTCAAGAAATTGTTGAAGTCTCATATCTTCAGCTTTATGATGATTTTAAATACTTTCTATTCTGCAAAAAGTAGAAGAAAATTTAAGCATAAATATATATTTTTATTTTGTTTAAGATTTCATAATCATCAGCGAACTGTAATTTTCACTTATTTTCACTTATTTATCATTTTGAAAACTAATTTTCTCTTCCATTTTGTGTGTAAGTGAACTGTAAGTGTAAGTTTTTTTCATTAAAATCTTGAGAAAGAATTGTATTTTTCATTTCATCATACTTTTTATTAATTGGAGGTAAAAGAACAAGAGAGTCAAGCTATGTATTCGCCTTTTATGTTAACTCTGTGGTCCTTATTGTGAAATAGGAAAAAAGGCCTAGAATTTTCTTTTTACTTGAATTTTCACACAGACATGTATGTTAAAATATGGTCTTTATCATTTGATGGAAAAAGATGCCCTCAATTTTTCCTTTTACAAGGCTTTTCACACAGACATGAGTTGTCAAATAGTCCTAGCATTAACGTGAAAAAGCGAAAAGCAAAAAATAAATGACATTGAAAGTGTGTTTGGCAAATATGAATCTAAGAAGGGAATGTAAATTGATTTTTTCTTTCTTTTTCTTTTTTAGTCTGATATGAAGATTATATCATAAAGGACATTTGTGACCTGAGAATTACAGGGTTCTAACAAACATTTTAGTCAAAATTGAGTTCAGTAGTGGATATCGTTGGTATTACAAAATTCTATCTAATAATAGGATTTGGAGCAATAAGGCCTAGTGGTCTAATGTCCACAACAGAATCACATGGTTCCAGTTCGCTAGTGGACACCTTCAAAATAACATGGTTCTATCTACCACTTTCCACTAAATCAGTGGAAGGTCTGGCAGTGACATAGGAAGCATAGTCATACAAATACTTGAAAGAGGTTTCTTTAACATCAAGAGGTGAAACACATCACATGGAGTGATAGTCATGTCCCTCAAAATGGAAACTGTGATTGCCACCATCCAAATACTGAAACAGTGACCATGAAATATTGTACTTCTAGTCATTCTACAGTACAGCAAATCGATAATGTTCATAGTGTCTTGGAAATAGCAATGGTTGTAGCTCAATTCTGTTCTCCTGTGTCTGTAATTTGAATCATGCTGAAGGCAAGCAGAGAATGCTATTACAATGTCATCCAAATGAGGGGTCCTCACTTCAAGGACTACCAAACCTGTGCCAAATCCTTTGATTACAAGGTAGTCCTGTTCTCCAAAGTAACTGCAATGAAATTATCCTCTGCAAGGCCGTTTGAGATTTAGTATAAAACATCCCATCAGGCTGAGAAGTTTAGAATGTGAAGCCCATGAAGAGAGGAAGGCATGACAGGGAGATCAGGTTTGAAAATTTGAAGATGTGAGTGCAGAATGCAGCCAGCTTGAATAAGATTCCCCTGAACAAAATAGCTGATTTTAAGGCAATGTTGAAATTCATGCCTTTGCTTGACAAAGAGTACTATAAAGCAACTTTCGATATTGAGTCAGATTAGTGTTTGTCACAACTTCCTTATTGATGGGTAAAGCAAAAAAAAAAAGCCAAGCTCAAATTTTCCTATGCACGATAAGGGGTTTGGTATTTTTGTAACTCTGTGAGCTACTTTGCATTGAAAAGCATGTTCTACCAGTGTAGCCAATAGCTCTGTGAGTCAGGACCACAAAACTTTTTGTCTGTTTTTAAGCAGCAGTGATGTGCTGTTATTGCAATTTGGTACCAGTAGCAATAATTACAAAGAAGTGGTTTATTTACTTAGTTTTATTGTTCCATTACTCTTTTTAAAACTTTGTCAAATCAAATAGAACTGTGTAAATTGCATTTTAACTTTCAAAGCTACAAGGTTCCATTTGTTACATTTGAATAATGAAAACACAATAAGGCTCAGAAATTGTCAAGTATTGAGGACACTGGAACATTCTGAACACTAACCTGAAATATTCAGTTATAAGCAAATGCACAATTAGCAATCAAACTTTTCAAGCAATTTTCTCAAAATGACCAAAATGTTAGTTAGAATTCTGTAATCCTAGTGAGTGGAAGTCAGAAATGTATGCAGTTGTACTTAATATAGCAGCAATACAGTTGTAAGACAGGTCCCTGTATCTAATCATAATGCCAGATAAATAACACTACTTCTATAATAGAAAGATAAGCTCCCTTTGATGAGCTAATGACACAGACTGTGTCATGATGTATTGCCACCTACAACTTGATCCAGTGCAACCATAGCATACCTGATGCCATCCACAACAAGGTCTTAATGCTTAAGACTGAGACTGAAGTATTTTCTATCCTAGAATTGAAATTCTCAATTTTTTTTATTTTTCATTAGATATGTATCTCTAAAAATGCCTGAATTTATGGTACATAGGCTGGAAATGCATTATACAAAAGAAGACATTACAAGGACAAACCATGATATTCATTGTCTGTTTACTGTTGCTCACTTTAGTAAAAGGAAATTAAAGCAAAAGCAAAAAAATCATGGAAAGATAAAGTTGCAGATAATAGGATGGGCTAGAATGTATTTTATGAAGAAACATATTTTCAAATTGGCATATATAACATAGACTTCCTTGTCATAAGGCAAAAATGATGTTGCAGATTATTAATACCCAAAACCTCAACTGGCCAAGAAGCACCCTCAGATCTTAACTGAAAAAAAATTAAAAAAGAACAATTATCAACCTGCAAATCTTGTCCCCTAGCTAATGACAATATCAAGGTGTTTGAAGACTCAATATACAAATTGTCAATTCTTCATGAATGCTTTTTGTTTCCTTGGTGGGTGCATTTGATTAACCCATACATGCCACATGACATCTAATCACATGGCAAACTAGGCCCAAATGCTGGGTGGTAAGTATTCATTCCATGCACAGGCAAACCTGCTCTGTTTGTGTGATAAATAGTTGTTTGTTTATTTGGCCTTGGTTGCAGTCTCTGAAGTAGGATGCAGTTAAAAGTGTAGGAAATGGGACAAATGCATTCCCTGGCTTCTAATTTTCTCTCGCAGCTGTCTGCTGTTTTTTTTTTTTTTCTTCTTTCTTTCTTTCTTGATACATTTCTTATGAAATATTTCACACCCATCTTTGAATTGAATTTATCATATAGGACCATTTTGAAGACTATTTTGTGATGCATACTTAGTATTAAGTATTAATAACCCTATTGTGACAGCGCCCAATTTATTTGTGATGTAATATTACAGAACAGTGTACACTTTGTGGCTAGGCCTAAGCTGTGAAACAGCCGGCCCATCCACTGTGAGTCATGTCATAAGCTGTTACATCATGATGGTTATAGCTGTCACCATTACTGTGTGGTTAAATTTCATATAATATTTATAAGAATTCCATATAGTTTTCTGAGTTGGTAATTTAGACCACATAATTTTTTTTCTTTTTCTTTTCTTCAATACTCTTTTCTTTTCTTATCATTTGTTTTGTATTAGAATATCATGTATATTTTTCCTTTTTTCACATTCATATGACCCTGAGAATATTACAGTTGCTTGGGAAATTAAAACAAAAAGGTTTACCAAATCCAAAAGACAAAAATATTAACTTATCCTTTATTCGTTGTCGATTATAAAGTATAGTGGATATGGGAGCATTTCTACTAATAACAAATAACAAACTACAAAAAAAAGGTTTTAACAAAAATAAACAAGTTCCTCTGAAGAGACTAGAATAAACACCTTCGACCCAGGAGAATGAATACACAAAAAAATGCATTATATAAAAGAGAGAGAAAGAGAATTTTAACTTCTATATAGTAGAAAAAAATAAGACATGAATCAACAAAAAAACCAAAAAAATGGGTTTCTAATAACAAAATGAAAAAGAATGCAAGCACTAGGAAACATTCTTTTCTAAACATTAATAGTCGACTCACTACTATCACTTATTTCTAATGATCAGAAGTTACATCATTTGATCTTTTAATTACTATTTCTTGCTTGTTAAAAAAGAAAAAAAAGAAACTTCTTATAGAATACAAAAGGCACATTTTTGTATAGTCTTACCAAATCGTGTTCATGTGAGAACCAATGCATCTACTTTGTATTTTGCAATTACTTTAAATACCTCCATGAATAGGAAGAATATGTATATATAAATATATGATTTTCATATTCATAGCAACTAAAAATCTAAAGATGTTATTCACATCTTTTTTTGTAGACAATAATGAAATGGAAACTCATTACACTGTATAATTTCTAAAGACAAAACTCATTTTAGTGGTGAATATCCTTTTAAAAACATCACGTTTATCACCATTAAAACAATGTATCAAATATCCTTAAGCTAAAAACCCACTGCGTCAATAAATATTATCAACCAAAATGCTGGAGAATGTTTGCAACAGCATTTATTATTGGGTCTCAGTACATGTTATCCTAATTTTGTAACAAAAAATATCTTATTTACCATACACAAACAGCCGCTTATTTATCATACAATATCAGCCATTCCCAATATCATATTAGCTTCAACATATCCACCAAACAGAAAAAAGGACATGATATAAATATATATACTTTATGTAAATCCCTCATAAATAGCTATGAAATACTGAGTATGTAACTAGGCTCTGAATTGGATCCCTGACCCTTTTCAAGCCCAGACACATGAGATTCAAGGGGAAAGCCAGCCAATGACAATCAGTTATGGCTGCTTTTTTGTGGTGAATATGCTGAAGGTAATTTTCTATGGATTTGTGGTTCAATTAATTTCACTTTGTTTTATTTTATACTAAAAGTCTCAACCTGTGGTATATGTTGACTATAGTGGTGTGTTACATTTCTGGCTTGATAATGTAGCTGAATTTTAGATCATTTGTGTACGTTATTGAATAAAAAACAAAAGGCAAGTTCTGTTACAATACATATCATCTAACATCAACAGATCTGTAAAAAAAAACAAAAATGCATTTGACATCAAGTCAAATGCCACAAAAGACAAAGAGACAAAGAAACATGTATCAAAAAGACAACTTCACATGATAATCCTTACATGTATACATATATATCTGTTTATAAAAACACAATTAATATTAACGCAACATCATAAAATTCCTTCCACTGTTATTTAATATACAAACTTCACAACCATTCTTCTAAGAGGTGCTGTTATTTCCATTATCATCTTCCTCAGTGGTGGACATTGTTCTGACCAGGGTCCAGCGCAGTTCCCTCTTGGCCAAGGCTGCCGCGTCCTCCAGGTCACTTGCCTGCAGGAAATGGGATGTGGGGTGTGAGATGTGAGGTATATAACAATATAGGTTGTATAAAAATATCAGATGTAATTCTCAGCATAAAATTTGTTCCTATAGGCTAATGTCAATAGTATGAATAATAATGAGAAGAAAAACAATCCCTCATTTTCACTGAGAGAAGCAAGAACCCCATACCTGGAGGTACGTAGGCACTGCATTAAGGGCTGCGTCTCCCTGTTCATTCAGTGTCGCTACCACACCTGCTTGATACTGCCAGCTCTGTGGACGGAAAGACCAACGTGCTACCAATTACCACATAGAAATAGTGCAACGACACAAGTCCTTCACCTAAAATGCGTGCAGTATCTGGAATCCCTTATGGGTGGGAGGGAATTAGGACATTTTTTTTTTTCTTTTTTTCAAATGGTACAAAAATATTTTGTCCTGTGAGTCTAGGATAAGGGAAGAGGAATAGACTTATGAAGGATAAATGGCTGAGGATAGGTAAGTGATAAATAAAATAAAATGATACAGAAAGAAAGTCATGAAAGGAAATATTTCCATCAAAGTTAATTTAAGAGAAAAAGAGAAATCCAAAATTAATAGTGATTAATATTATATATACAACATTTGAGTTAATTACACAGAAATATTTCTGAACATCATGAGCTTTCACAGTACATTTAAAATAAATAATCAAAATATATACAATGATAAAATGATACATAAATATTATATATTAATACTTACATGCACACACACTTTCACACACATATATGTCTGTGTGTGTGTGTATGTGTGTGTGTGTGTGTGTGTGTGTGTGTGTGTGTGTGTATGTGTGTATGTGTGTGTGTGTGTGTGTGTGTGTGTGTGTGTGTGTGTGTGTGTGTGTGTGTGTGTGTGTGTGTGTGTGTGTGTGTGTGTGTGTGTGTGTGTGTGTGTGTGTGTGTGTGTGTGTGTGTGCGTGTGTGTGTGTGTCTTCATATATACATGCTTCTTACTCCTAAAATCCTTAATTACATTTCCCAAATCTACAACTACTGGAAAACTAAGTTACATTTCTTCTTCCTACTCAAAAGGTAAATGATACAACTAGAGATTTTTACTAAATATATTCACAGGGAAGATACCCTATGTCGTAAGATGCTGCCATACAGACACAAGCCACTTCAAGCTTAAAAACATCATGTTTAAGGGAAACACTTCGAACAAAAATATTAAGGGAAAACACTTAAAACAAAAAATCTTTGGTAAGTCTCTTTAAATAACAAGTTAATTAGATATCAACAAAGAAACAGTTAGAAGAGTAATTAACAAATAAATGAACGTGCACTGAAGATTGATACTTGAGTTAATTACAAAACTATTATCGTGCATGAAACAAGGGGTTTTCGGACACAATGTATGCTTTTGTTGCAAGTTGCACAGCACTGCAAACCAGAACATGAAAATCTATTTCTCTTCCCATATCCCATATAAATACCTCATAGTTAAAAAACATCCCAAATGAAGATTCATAGTAATAAAATATCCCATATGTACTTCATAGTTATAAGAAGTTCTACCTAAAAATAGTTTTCTACATTTCTATATATAAAAAAAAAGAATATTCCCTATCTGTAAGTCCTGTGTAATAA